AAGAAGAATCCATATATTAAACACTAACCTGTACTGAGCAAGGCCCAAACTCGGCAACCAATCATTTCCTATCCACTCGTGGTTCATATCACCAAACGCTAACGTCATTCGCGCACATCGTGGAGCCGATGGAGAAGTTAAGGCCACCATTTCCTTAAAGGTTAACGACAAAAGTGAGAATGTGGCAGGCCAGCACCTCTCAAAATATAGAAGTCATTTACCTGGATGGCCAATCGAAGTTTCAGCCGGTGCAAAGGATTACTGATACCAATCTCTCGTTGAATCTCCTGATCGCTCAGAGCAGACATTATAGCGCCAGACTGCAGAGCAAAATGTTTGTGAAAGTGGAAAATGCTTGCGTTAAAGAAAGTGGGCATGATAATTTGGTTCTCTGCAGAAACTGGAAACAGAGGCACTAAATATTATGTCAGTAAAGCCAAAAACGGCTGTAAACGCCCAAAGTAGTGCCCTCATCCAACGAGAAATTGTCCTACGCCTGGGAATAATCATCGCTGGTCAAAGATCAAGGTCAAAAAATTCGCAACAACAGCAGAGGAAATATAAAAACACGTTCTTTTAGGCGGTAGCAAACTTCACGATAGCGTCAACAGGGGCAGAAACAGGGGCATACTATGCCATTTTTACGAGGCTGCTGTAGGAAATTCGTGGGAATCAAGTGAAAAATCAAAAAAGTAAAAAGTTTCTAAAATTACAAAACGGGCACTACTTGCAGAAAATCCTTGCATTCTGCCGAAACAAGATATTTTCTTCATTAACGAGAACCAAGACACTTCAGAAGGAACCTTGATGAAAGAAAAAAAGCCGCTCAGTCGCGGGTTGTTAGTGAAACAGCTGATCCGATCGTGATAAGATGTTAATCGGTGCGGTCACTTGTGGGCGTATCGTTACTGAGGTAGTCTGCATCTGCATTTTTGACCTACTTGATATGCTCAAGGACCGTTCTTTGTGGAGGCGATGCCATGAAGGGCCCTCCCCTTCTCCATGAAGGGTTCTCCTCTTCTCTTGGTGTTGAACGTGTTTACCTTACACGCCTAGGGGATTTATCATGCCTTCGCTTCCAAACAAATAAAGTATCTCTATGAGCATACAAGGGATTCTCCCCCAGCAAAATTACCTTAACATTAGCACGGCAAGCCGCTACATACCACGCAGGCATACCAACCCATAGCTCCAGCCAAGCAACCACGGTTGGTCCATTCCATAGGGCGAAAGGAGTTCGCGCTCTCATTGCCTTAAATGATTCATTGTAACTCATCAACGAGAACGTCAAAACAGAATTCCGTAACAATGTGATAAAAAAAGGCATTTTGAATCTCAAAGTAGTTCTCT